GTTTCTTGAGTTTTACAATAATTTCTTTACCGCTAATTGAGATCGCGAATTTATGACTACACGTATGTACGAATGATCGATCTGGCTGGCTCAATAGAGAAAATTGGAAATTTCTAAATCGATCCCTTTGTCTAACAAAGTTATTCATGTAACGGCTTTGCAAAATAAGGCGATATATTGCAAATGCTCTAAGTAGCGATACGATTCTCACCATCGTTCATCGTTGGGTCAAGCCAGCTCGATATACCAAATTTCATCAAAATATCTCAAAAATGCAAGACGGACACACGAATAAACAAATAAGTTTATAACAAGAGCTATTCTATTTCAAGCTGTGTAGACCGGCACAATTCTAACAGACCCCAGTACCACAAGTGGTATAGGTAAAAAATTAATAAAAGTTTGTTTTCGAAAAATTACGAGCACATATCTAGGGGTTCTTAAATATAATATCCACCCTGTACACGATACCGTATGTCAATGCCTTTTATATTATTGTATAAATTATTCTCAACTAAACTGAAGAGTTTAGCTTTACTTAAATTTATTAAGTGTTAAAAAAGTCGACGATTTATAGCGCAAGCTTAATACATTAATACATTAGCGGTGATCTGAAAAATATTAACCCTTGAAGAGGTCAAAATTGATAAAATCATTTCATTTGACTCTCGTGCACATTGCCATGAAACATAATGCTGTCTCTCTTTTTTTAAATATCTCACATTGTCATTATGATCGGCATGTGGCATAACCAACCCATTGCTATGTATGCTTCAATGCTTTCTCCTAACTTTGAAGCATGGCAACGAACGGTAAAGTTCATGAAAAATGTTCCTTAAACTAATAGATCGTAAGTGAATGTATTTTGTAGGATGATTTAAGTGACGTAAGACATTCTTTAGCAGTGTGTAAAAGGATTTTCATGTTTTACACAAATGTTTAATAAAGCGAGAGGACAAACTATGTCCACCTTGGGTACCTTGTTGTTGTGTTAGGTTGTATTTAAGAAAGTTTATATTAATAAAAAAGTCATACATACATCCTCTTAGGTTTCAGACTCAAATCATTTTAAAATTTTTTTTTCCTGTTACCGAGATTATTCCAAATGTATGTACCCGAGTATGCCGAGTGTACCAAATATAACGTATCAGTTCGGCTATTAGAATGAGCTTAATTGCTTCTATATCCATTCATGGATCTCTCCGTTAAAGTCACGATTGTTAACACAACACTTTTTGAATTTAAATTTTCATTCATTTATTTAGTTAAGAATTTTTGCTATAATAATGTATATTCTTACAGCCAATGCGAACAGCCAAACTGAAAAAGCCACATATGTTTGTCCGTTCTTTGGTAGGCTAAGTTGGCAAAACTCTTCTAAAGCCTGGTTTCAATATTATCGGATTAGCTTCACATAAATCAAGTTCGGAAATCAGTTCACACTCTTCGCAAAGGATCAAGTACAACCTACCAGCACTAAGCATTTCATAAAATAACACATTTACAATTACAACGATCTGTCAAATTTTAGAGGAAATATATGTAACGTATGTACGACCTAAGTAAGGAAAAGTAAGGGATTTCTCTACCTGGCAAAAACTGAGTGCCTGCTGTTAACGGCAAAATTGTCTCGGCAAACGCAGAGCATTTTCTTTGTCCTTCTTTTTTTCAAAACATGTTCCCTTGGAAAAAGCAGCCTTTGTAAGAATTTTTTCAAGATCCTTCTGTAGTTTTGAAATCAAAAATCTGCGTTCGTCATAATGTGCAATCGATGAATCGTTATCGAATATAGAACTCTATATAGAGGTAGGTTATCTTATATCTTTCAAGTCACTTTTAACACTGGAACTACTGCGTAGATCAATATGCTTCGTTTTGGATATTTAACCTTACAATAAAATTTTATAAGGCAAGTAAGATTTTGTTTATATAAATAGACCTTCTAGATCTCATAACCAGGTTTTCCTTCGAAATATCTATCACATATACTTATTTCTCCCGTTATGGGTCATTTTGAGAAATCGCTTCAGTCATAAAAATGAAGGTAAGAACATTTCTTGATCACTTAAAAATTTAATGTTGGAAAATGGAGGTGATCTGTTCACTTCCAACCCCGCGAAGGTAACTCGTCAGGTCTGCTTGCTATGTTCGGTTTGCCCACTTTAGAAATGTCACTAAAATTATTAATCAACATTACCCACAATGGCAGAAATAGGTGTATGCAACATGCCGGTAGTTCTAGTGTTGAAAAGCCTTTACAATGATTTATCGTCGTTTGTTGGGCTTGTATAAGATTGTCATAAGACGTGCCATGGTCAAAGTGCGTTTCGATAATAGCAAATAATTGCATAAAGAGAAGTCAAATAAATACGAAAATTGTTCGAATATATAGACATTTAGTCATTTGTAATATTCAATGCGAGCAATTTGTGGCCTTTGTTCAAAGCATGAGGAACACAGGATATAGAATTTTCGTGTGTTAAAACGCGTCGTCAAAGTTTCTAAATTCTGTTGTATATGTATCTACATACATAAACGCTCTGCCTCTGCTCTCACTCTTGAATTGAATTGCGGCAATTTCATCCACTTTCCCATCGATACATTTTCGTTCTTCCTTTGGTATTTGCTTGACATGTTTTTAGGACATCTTTCAAAAGATCGCAATCGTCCTGCAAACCGTTCTTACCATCCAAACAAAGGAAATAAGCAACGGTTACCATATTCCCTATTTTTTTAATAGGATTTCCAAGGATTTTTGTGATGAGATGACAAAACGCATCGTTGTTTTAAGCGCTATAACATGACAGAGTCTTGATCGTTTCTAATGAATCCAATGACTCGTAGATTTACCCACTAACCGATTGTACATTGCTGCTTCAGTAGAAGCAATGAATGATTTTCTGTACATTTGAAAACTTCACATATGATACTTATAAGATCATTTTGGTATTTCCAGCATTTGAATGGTTGGACGGACTCCATTTTCATTCATTCTTGATAAGGCGCCGCAAACAAAGAAATAATGTCACGAAAAATAAACACAAAAATAAAATAAACTCTCATTTTAGATCAAATGTACACATATGTTATATTATTTAAGGCATCCAATATATATATATATATTTTATTTCATTAACATCATTCGAAAGATAAATGCAGTGGCGCCTCTTGTTGTATACATATAATGCATCAGCATCTTGGTAGCTTCAGAAGTATAAATACACATACTTTTAATGGCTCGCGCTCTTTATTGTAGGAGTACAAAAACCATCCACAAAATGTGTAACAAAGAGAAAAAACAACAAAAAAAGCCGAAATTTATCCTACACAATGTTGTGGGTCATCTTTAAAACATTTTTCACGTATTCTTAATCAACCCAATAAGTTCATGTTACACTGATTCTATGAAATATTTATATGGCGCTCAGTTATGTAGACAAATATTCTCAATACTATTGACTAGGCGTTATTTTTTCTCTCATCATTCGTATCTTGCTCTCTCCGTTAGAACATATGAAAGCGACTTTACAATTTCTCTTCTCTTACAAATTCGTCGCACGGTTGATAAATGATGTAATCACGTAGTACTTTAAGAGTATTACTAAAAACTTTTTAATGTTAGTCTTTTAACGACTGAAAGAGAAGATTTAAAAATTTTCTATCTATTACCCACAGTGATGTCTATCCTTTTTCTATTATGTTTGTCACTGTTGAATAAATTGAAATCTGGACCTGAATATTTGCAGAAATGAATATGCGCGTTATAAGGAACAAGTGAAAATCTTAGCACGGGTTAATAATGCTGGCGCTTCAAAAAAGTCGGAGTAAATTTTTTTCATATTTTCCAGCATAAATTTCGATCCCAAGAAGATATAGTCGAGGACATGTGATCCAGATGTTCATTAGGGTCAGCTCAATCGATTTTTTTGATTGTTTTCGTTTTTTTTCTGCAGTACGGGCGTGTATGTGAACAGATCACGACCATCTTTTGTCCGCATATACCTGATCGGACCGGGAATATGTATGGTAAATTTCATCTGTCTTCATGCTGGTGATTGCAATAGTAAAGTGGATGAGCCCCAGAAAAAAAAGAGTAGACATATGTATTGGCTGCATTAAATCATTAAAAGTCAATACATAACACGCAGCATTTTTCGGGCTTATCGCGCGAAACCCGTGCAGTAGATTTAGTGCTACAATGAATATATCATTCCTAATACGAGTCCTGCGTAATAAAAAGAATTAAGGAAACATAAATCCATTTATTGGGAAATAATATTTAATATGAGAAATGTTATCGAAAGTATATAGTGTCACTATTTCTTATTAACAGTTTGTATGAAACATGTTAAAAAGTACTTTTATACCACTTTTATCATTGCTGCGATATGTTGCGAACAACATTATTATTATGAAAAACTATGTAGCAGTATCTGCATTAAGAGTATGAAATGTAAAGTATACATACATTTCAGTTGTTGTTCGTTGCTGGTCTAGATGACAAATATGAACAATATTCGGGTTTTAATAAGGGTAAATATGATGTTATCTAAATATATTTATTCTCGAATAATTGTGTTGTGTGAGTAATTAAATGTTTTAGTTGGATTTGATATTTCCGTTAGTATATGAATTTTTAACTTTGCCATCAAATTGAAAATTCGAAAAATTTTGCGAGACTATTGCGAGTAAATGACGAGTAACGATGAAAAGTAATCAAAAATTTAGTTGAATTTGCGTCGGTCGTTTCGTAAAGAAGCATAAGTGTGTACATTAATAATTGCTTTGTCGGTCGTTTGCGAGCATGTCATAAGGTCAAAACGTTGTGTACATATGTGCGTGATGTATTAAGAGACTATGCGTTAATGTGTACATACATAAGTGTGTATTCGTTTTACCGAATGAGTGTAAAAATAAATATATATTCGCGGAAAAAATCTCAAAATGTTTGAAGTATCTTTTGCTATATATATATTTAGGGCAAAAATACAAGAAATGAAGAAATCAAATAACAAAGAAAAAACTCAAGAACTTTAAGGATATAAGATTTTTTATAGTACCGTTTAAACGATGAATATATATGTCTGCCTATGCGTATGAAAAGTACAAGTTTTGAAAAAGAAAAAAAACAACGAAAAAAAGCTAAAAATATTGTTGTAAATTTTTGCGAATGAAATTAATCCTTAAAGGAGATAGATGAAAAATTCAAACCTGAGCTAAAATACTCTTATAGCAAAGATGTAATTAAAATTTTTAGTACTGCGAAATTGGTTGAATACGTCTTTTATTAGAGAGATACGGATAATATGTATATACGTATATAATCGTGTTAGAATATATTACACATACGCGCAAACGTTTAAATGAATGTGTAAGTACAACTCCTGTACACAACTACACACATATATATATAAAAGAATGTGTTGTTGTTAAAGTTTTCATATTTTAAAAAAATGCCAAGAATCCTTGTTCATTTTAGTTTTCCTAATAACATACCCTAATAAGCTGCACTTGTTTAACAGATGAGTTTTTAATCTCAAAGACAGGGGACACACCCCGTTCTGACGCCTTTTCAATCTTTGCAATTGTAATAATTTATTCTACTCAACTTTACGTTTACCGTTTATTAGCGTTAAGTCTTAGGGTTGTCATTCATTATACGAACGTATATGCAACTTTGTAGAGAAGTGAATTTTAAATAAACTATAAATGTAAAAGAATTTTGAATAATAGCTTAAAGTTTCCCCTTTCGTTATTCATAAAATTACCTAGAATTATACTAACGGTTCTAAGACATACGTTTATACGTTTATACATATACGTATTGAATGGTTGTTGATGGTCGTTCGAAACTTCGCACCGGTTTCTTCTTATTCGATATTTTCATTATTGTGAAATTATATGATATTTTGGAAAGGTTTTAAAAATTTCACATATTTCGAGTCATTGAACTTAAACATATATTTCTCCTCTCGGAGAATCCTGTCCCCTTAAGTCAAAAAAAACCAGAAAAATTTGGAGGGTGGTAATTGAATAATTTCTGCTTACATTCTTTGGCAGTTACTTTCACACATCTGCCAGACGATGTATATGCAAAGTCCTTGGTGTAGAAAACAACTGTTTCTTCGCCATATGCGAATTTACTCTTAAATTCCTTGTAAAAAAAAAGCCTATAATGACTGCATTCCTCGATCGTTTCATCTTTCATCTCGCCACATAGACGTTGAGTAATGTGTCAAGTGTGTCTCAAGAGGTCCTGGTCAAGACTTTTTCAAATGACTTTATCATCTTTGACTGCTTCAAGCGATTTTCATTCAGTGTTTTGCAAAGCACTTACGGAGTATGGAACAATATATCATCCATTTAACCAGCGCATAAATTCTTTCGATTTACGCTGAAATAACTTCAAAGCGCAATTTGAATTATCGATGGGTTGTTGTTTTACTCGTATGTTTGCAAACGCGGCACTCGTATATCGCACTTTTATATTGCCTATCCAAAAACATTGGTATACTATTGCAGTCACTGCTTTTGTAACACTCGGATGTCGAAATAAGAAACATGATGAAGTAACAAAAATGATCGATCAAAGCTGGATATTAGCTGGATTAGTAGTCATGTCTGTTCATGGAATTGTTATAATTTTACATTGTCCGTCTATCCATCTGCAGCTGTTTTATCATGAAAGCTAAAATAGAAAGTTGAAAATTGGCTCACGCTGGTAGAAGAAACTTGCTTCGTGCATCAACCTACAACTATGCCTATAATAATAGGTAAAGATCTGTAAAAATTTTCAAAAGTTGATTTTCAATGTTTTCAAATGCACATAAAATGCAGTTATGAAATTTCGTATTCCGATTTTAATCGTTTAACTGGAACGTCCATAAGTAATAATTAATTAATTAATGTTATCTATTAAGTTTTTAGTGTTATCTATTAAGTTTTCACGAAATAAAAATTTTTATATATACATCATTCATCCTTATAGAGACAGACTCATATATGCGGCTTACCATCCATATTTTTTATGCAACCTAATATTTGCTAAAAATGATGGGTATAGAAAATGCGGCCTAAAACTCATATAAGACCCTCTGGTTTTGTTCCTTTTTCTTGCTTTGTCATATGCAAATGTTCATGTAAAATATTCTTTTTCTGCTGATATCTTTACGATGTCAATTTGACTTTGCAATCATCCAAAACAATATGGTGGATTTTTTCGATTTCTGTTTTTCCTTTTCGTTTTGTTTAAGTTGATGGTTGAATTCAATGCCTAGAATGTGCAGTATCATCAATGCCTGGCATGATCATAATTTAAAAAAAAAAAAGAAAAAAAAAACAAGAAACACTATATGTCTCAACATATGGTTTTTTGTTAAGAAACAGATGCGTCGTGTAATGTTATCCAAGCTTAGATTTACATGGAAATTTTTTCCCTCTTCGTAGAAAGAAAAATAACTTGGACGTTTGTAAAATGGATGAAAGAAGATGGTCCAAATGTCCTGAAAATTCGATACCAAGATAGATAGACAAACGAATGGTCCAAATGTCTGGAAAATTGTTTAGAGATGCTAAGCTTTCAAAAAAACGTATAGGTGCAAAAATGGAAGCATGATCTCTCCCCTACCTTCCAGGAGGTGAAAGCAGTTTTGTTTGCATGATATTATAAAAATTTGATATAAAACTTGAAAAATTCCAAGTTTTCTAGGAATCTGACCAGGCACTAGATTCATAGCGACCATTTTTACGAAGCGCAGCGACCCTTATAAACGGACAGACAAACTTTGTAAGGGTTTATTAACATTTCCGAAGATTCAAATTCAAAGCGATTAATTTCTATCACTTAATTCGACTGTGGTTTATTTAATTTCACTTCTATGTCTAACCTGACCACAAACACATTAAAGTTGCATAAAAAGTAACAAAAAACACATCGCTAAACTTTTAAGTACAGCCGTTTGTGTGATGTGCAGATTCTGCAAGTTAACGACTATATAACCAAATGCTCACTTTAAAATGTGTAGCATTTTTGAAATAACTTTGAAGCAAACTGAAGTTTTCAAACCAAAAACCAGAGTGTATTAACGCTTATCTTAATTGACAGTTTTCAAAAGTCGCTTTACAATGTTATTCATTAGTGACTAGCATCTTCTTGATTTATGATTTGTATACTTATGGCTGAGGGCTTAAGTTGACGTTTTAGTTTTCTTATGACTTGAGTCGGTTTGCGGTTTTCGAACATCATTTTCAGTTTCGGATTTATAGTTCTGGTCATCGAGCAGCTTTTAACGAGTAATGCGTTAATGGTAAAAACGAAAACGTATGAATTTTGCTTGGTAACGAATACCACACTTGTATCATCCTATCCAAAAAAACAAACGTAACGTCTTTGTGTTCCCTAGTCACGTAAGTTAGCTAGCGAACGAAAACCATAAACCGACCGGTATTAAAGATTTGCAGAAACAACTTAACATAAGTTCAAAATTCTTTATGTGAATTTATGGAGCATACCTTTCATAATGCGCAAAAGACTACTCTTATCTCCCGGCTAATTGTCGTCTTTAACTATCTTAAACCAACCTTATTCTCAAACACATTCCGCAGACACCTTTTTGGGTAGCCAAACAAAACCATCCCGTTTGTATGTATTATTATTACGAGAGAAAAAGGAAAATTTCTATGGTTGTGATGTTTCTTTATAGAACGCACATATAATAACACATTTGAGAGAAAAAATTTTTTTTTATTAAGATACTTTGCTTTAGTTCAATCTCATGCAAAGTGAGTCACTGCGTTAAAGGCAAACATTGCCGAAGCCGTTTAGAAATGAATTAATTGCTTCAATCTTTATATAGGACTTTATGCAGTTCAGAGATTTGCTTTCTTTTTGCGAAAATTCCGTATCAAATCAGCAAATGGTTATATAAAACTATTCGATTTTCAAATACTTCACTCTTTAAAATACCTTTACTTTATCTTTCGCTTTACTTTGCAAATTTTGTTTACTAAAAAGTTTATTCTGTTTCCCAAACGTCTTCCTTAACAGATGTGCTCACTAACAGGCGGAGGAATCGGCAGAATTATTATCACGAAATCATTCCCTACGAAATCGTTAGACGGCGGTATCTTTTTCTTTCATGTTTGTTGTAAAACGTCGTTTTGATTTTACGCATTTATCCGATTGCTTTTTGAGGTCGTAGTGTCGTTGATTTGTGTTTTTAGGTTTTACTTGCACTTCTTAGAAAATCGATCTATTCTTATTATCATCATTATGATTATTATTAACTAATTTAGCTAGAGAAATAAATTTGAAGACGAAAATCTTAAAGCACTAGCATCTAAGACGGCCATTGGCTTTTGCGGCTTCACCGCAGTTGACTTTCGAACCCACGACCATTGAGTTGTTAGTAGAGATGCTTTGCCCCCTCAGACGGATAAGAAATCTATTTACAGGAACTTATGTTTACAATGACTCTTCTGGTCTTTTCCATTTGAATATTTCGATACAATTCTCCTAACTCGAGTGACTGTTCCTGGCGCAAATGCTCTGCTTTAAAAGCATATTGCTTTTTATCTGTGAAATATTCTATAAATTTTTGTGAACCTTTCCGCGATTCGCTAACTGCATCGGCAGATGAACTATGCTTTTGGGGAAGCGTAGATATACCGAAAGTCTTACCTCCTCGTGGTGATCCCTGAAAACGATCGCGACCGGCGAAGAAGAGTTTAAGGCTTGGACTATCTACAACTTGGCGGCAAGTTTTCTGAAAAGATAACTTAGAGTTTCGCTGGAAGAAACACTCTTTTCTCATAAGCGATGACTATGAAGGAAATTCTATCCAAAACCAGCTGGTAACTGGTTACGTAAAAATACGTTGATATAGTAATAGTTGAGAGCGTGGCAGTCCGGTTCTGGCTAGCCAAGATTGTATCCGAAGGCAAGAGTGACTACGTCCCTTAAAGTAAGGCTAAAGGCTTTAGAGTCTAACTTTAAACTCCACGGGGATCAGGATCCACTCACCACTCACGGGTACCTACACGGAAGGGGCGAGAGCATTGATTTACTGCAGATTGGTGCTTTCCAAGATCTTACGGGGATATCTTGCATGCTTACATACATTTGGAAACCGTGGTGGAAGCATGTACGTCCACTCCCCTATTCGAACGCAGCAGTTCGGGAGATATCGTGGTGGTTGTCCTTTCTATCATTCCAAAGCGAATAATTAGAGGTGATGATAGGCCTCAACATTTATTAGAGCGGGTTTATTGAGCCATACACAATAAACATATCTGGATTGTCCCGTGCAGTTTAGGTTCCTAGATTTTAGGGATTGTCTAACTCTCTGGAGGGCCCCGGTAATGCTAAATTAA